TATACAACTGTCTCCAACCCGATACCCCTTTAGAGATTGATCCCAATGCGAACGAGACCAAACGGCCGAAGATGGCCATCTTCAGGTTTGTCGAGGCTTGCATGAGGCAGCTTAATTTTGCCGAGTCCTTTGTGATCAATGATCTAATGGGAAATGACACCACTGGTTTCGTCAAGGTATATATATTCCTCTTCGGCGTGCTTACGCCCGCGCGCCAGATCCGCCACCCTCGTCGCATATCGTGAACTAGCAAGTTGACATGCAAATCAGGTTACCCAAGTCGTGAATCGCGTTCTGGATCTCGCCGAGCAGCGGAATCTTCTCTTACAAATCCAACCGTACCCGGAAGAGAGTGGCCCGGTGGCGCCCGGGTCTCAGATGACCTATCGCGATCACATCATCCAAGAACTAGTCGATACCGAACGAAAGTATGTCCAGGATCTCGAGAACCTGCACGATCTCAAGAAGACGTTAGAACAGAAGGGTGTAATTCCCGGCGACATCATCCATCAAATATTCCTGAACATAAACTCCATCTTGGATTTCCAGAGACGATTCTTGATTCGCGTCGAGACGACCAATTCGATGCTCCAGGATGTGCAGCGATGGGGTGCGCCGTTTATCACTTACGAAGACGCCTTTGACATCTATCAGCCGTTTATTGCGAACCAGCGGAAAGCCGGCCAGATAGCGAATCAAGTCTTTGACAAGATTCAACTGGCTGATCACCCTGTGGCTTTCGACTTTAATACTCTAGACAGTTTTCTGCTGAAGCCGATGCAGAGATTGGTGAAATACCCCTTACTGCTAAAGGTTCGTAACCCACCCTCGCATTTAGACAAGACTAAGACTGACTTGTATTAGCAACTACTGAAAAAGTGCGAAATCGAAACTATGAAGGCGGATTTGACCGGAGGCATTGATGCGGCCGAGCGCGTCCTCACGAAAGCGAACGAGGCAGTTGATCGCGACCTTCTGGATGAAGCAGTGGAAGACTTGATACGTAGAGTGGACGATTGGAAGAACCACCGAGTCGAGTCTTTCGGGAGGCTGCTGTTGCATGGCGTTTATACCGTCATCACCGGCCGCAGCGAGCAGGAAAAGGATGTAAGTCTTGTGGTGCGCAGAACCGTTGCCCCCCTCTTGGAGCAAAACTGATAATGTTCCAGTACGAGATTTACCTGTTCGAATGCATCCTTCTCTGCTGCAAAGAGGTACAGCCGAATAAAAGCAAGGAAAAGAAGGACAAGAACAAGTCTGCCCCGAAGGCCCCGAACAAGAATAATAAGCTGCAGCTGAAGGGACGGATATTTATGACGAATGTCACTGAGGTCCTCTCGTTCGCAAAGCCAGGTAAGCAATTCAAAGAGCCAGCTGCAGAACCCAACTCAATTAACCCGTATTCAGGTTCGTATACTGTACAGATATGGTGGAAGGGTGATCCCGGTGTCGAGAACTTTATCATCAAGTTCTCTAACGAGGAGACGATGAAGAAGTGGGAAACGGGACTAGTCGCGCAGAGAAAGGAACATGCTCCAACTGCTGCCCCAAGTCCCGAACAATCCACTCCGGATTTTGCCTGGATGCGGAACCAAAACAACCTTGAGAACCCTTACGCCCAACAAGACGAGGATGACGAGGATGAGGAAGAAGCTCCACCAGCACAAGTGTCGCCGCCGAATATGGGCTTTGTTTCGACCGGCGGAGTCATGAACCGCAATGCGTCAAGTACGAGTCTCAGAGCACGCTCAGCGACTGCTGAGAGCACTCAGTCACTCGCAAGTATCGCCCGAGCGCCTCCACCACGTTTCCCTCTTCCAGCACCTCCCGGGCAATTGAGTCTTCAGACGCAAGGTGGTGCCCAGTCGCCTAGTCAGCGTATTGGCGAGTCATATTTCTCCCCTACAGCAGAGTCTCCTGCCTCATCACGGACCAGTACTGCCAGTATGTTCCCGCAAAACGGACAGTATCCGTTCCCGAGGACTGCAACGCCTCAAGGCGGATGGGAAGATAACAATCGTTATACTGCACCTGCTATGCCACGAGCGCCCTCGAGAGACGGCCCATCCCCGATGAATGGGAGAAATCCCAGAGGACCTTCGTTGCCGGTAATGGCCTCTCAACAGACTCTTGCTCAGCAGCAACGCAGCCGATCCTACAGCACACCAGATATCAACGGCCAGCCAAATGGACGTAGGACTAACAGTAGCACACCTGTTCCTGCTGTTCCCGGAATTCCGGCTCATCTTCACCACGATTCAAACATCCCCCGCTCTCAAACAGGTTCCCCTAGACAGGATATACCAATGCGTACCAATACCCAGAGTCCAGGCGTCCAGCGGAACCAGCAATCCGGCCAATATGGCGGAACCATGGCTCAATTCCCCACGCAGCCTGTCTATTCTCGGCAGACGACTCCCGCCCCGGGATCAAGTGCAGGAGGAAATGTGCCTCCACCACTTAACCTCAATAACCAACAGCCTGTGTCACCTGCACTCGGGACCGCCACGGGGACCGCCACGCAAACCAACCCACTTGCAAGCCCGGATCCGTCAATTCCGTCGCAGCTCAAGGTTAAAGTGAATTGCGACAATGGAACATATTTTACACTTGTTGTCCCGTTCAACATTGCATATCAATCGCTCAGGGACCGAATCGATGCCAAGCTTTCGCGGTTTACTAATAGCTCAATTGCTAAGGGCAATCTGAAACTACGGTACCGCGATGAGGATGGCGATGCTGTGACAATCGAAAGTGACGACGATATCCAGTGTGCCTTCACGGAGTGGCGCGAGGGCGTGGATATGTATACCGGCAGCGTTGGAGAAATAGAACTTTTCTGCGTTGGGGAAACCGGTTGAATGCGTATCGAAGCAACGTTGGGACTTGAAGGGGTTTATTGGACACTTCGAATACGGGGAGGATGCGCTTCACAAACGGCCGAGGACACGATACTAATCTAGATTACATCGATAATGATATGATATACGCCAGTTCCGCACATATCATACCTTGATACACTTCTTTATCTTCAAATCTTCTATCAAACATTCGTTTCACGACTTTACGATTCTTGCAAATACTTTAGATACCAGACCTTTCTTGGTCACCGGTGGATTGGCATTGGGTCCCTGCCAGATTTAAAGGAACTCTACGCTCTTTCACGAAACTTGGCACTACATCGAAACACTTCTCAATCGTTATGGAAATCGCTCTCCGTCGCTAGGTCTCCCGAAGATCTCGTAAGCAAGAATTCTTGCTCTAATATGAGTCGCTTTCCACCACCACCATTTTATCCGTACTCAGCGGCCCTTATCAACCACTGAGATTTGACAGGATCTTAGAGAGGTCGGGTAGCATGCCTACGATCCTCTACATGGAGCCATTAGGAGAGGAATAATTCGTTATCTCGGACTTTCAACACTTTCGACAACCTTGCACAGGCCGGCGCTAGATAAGACGGATGGTGGTTCTGCTGTTTCACGCATCTGACTTTTATTTTTATTTTTCGTACAGCATGAGGAGAGCACAAGAGGGGCCATTGCAGCATTTGGCGGGAGTAAACCTAGGGTTTCATACTGCAGTTTTAATTGCGGGTCAAACTCGACGTAGTTGATAGCCTTTGAAGTTATATTTTTCTTCTTCTTCTTTCGGGGCATGGGGAAGTATAGCAGGCGGATCCCATTGAGAGTGTTAAGAGAGGACTAGAGTCGGAGAGCTAGCTTAGCTAACCTACCTATATACCTATATAGGTGGACCGTGAAATGCAAGGATTTCAAGGACGTTTTCGCGACTTTCTACCTGAGGCTCTATGCTTTGTGAACCTCCAATTATCTCAACACCTTATCTAAGATTTTGGCTCGTTTTCAATTTGATTTCGAACAAGTTGGAGAAATCCTTCTTGATTCGCCCATCGTAAGAGGTTCAGTCGGAGTTGACGGACGTGGTCCTCCGCATTTTGCCTAATTCGTCACATCTCGTCCCTCCCCGTGCCCACCGAGGATATCCTACTCGTCTACCAGCCATGTAGTATTCCGCAACCCTGAATTGCGGTTGAACCGTATAAATAGACAGGTGGCACTGCGTGCATTTGTTATCTACCCGTTGAGCTGCCCTGTCGATCATCCACAACCAGACTCTATAGTTCCCTTCTTATAGTCTTATGTAACTTGAGTTGATATACTGCAAATTCATTTCATATTATTAAGATTTAGATAGTTGACAAGATGCTCTCGTCTCTCACTCGCCTGCTCCTTATCTCCGCCGCGGCGCTGCCCGCGGCGCTGGCGAAGCCGGAGCAGATCCGTGCCGTGCAGTCGCCCATCTTCCACTACTATCTGCAGGCGTATCCGCAGGACCGTAAGCTCTCCCGAACACCCTCTCTTCCTCGTCGATTCCCCCTTTATACCCCAAATAACGAAGCTGACAAAACCCACCATAGCCACGATCCCGGTGATGGGCCCCGAGGCCAGCAGCGAGTTCTTCAACATCGGGGCGTCGATCCAGAGCACCAACACGTCGGCGTTCCTGAACATCGGCGACGACGCCACGTCCTACAAGACGCTGACGTTCGCGGCCGCGGGCGCCACCGACGCCTGGGCGCTCGAGGGCGACACCATCATCACCGGCACGGGCAGCAGCTACGGCCGCCAGCTCAACTTCCTCGTCTGCCAGCTCACCGGGGAGTACTGGCAGGTCTACCTCCAGACCGGGAGCGAGACGCCGGCCGGCAAGACGTGCAGTAATTACCAGAGCTTGCATTTGCCTTGTCTGTGCTGAGTTGGGGGGTGATGGGAGAGGATGGGACCGAGCTTGTGTGAAAATCGATTGAATATGAGAAGGATGTCTCGTCATAACATCTGGGCTACTGTATATATGCCAGCTGAATCATCAAAACTGCTGCATTTGCCCAGCCTTGTAAAATCATGATGGCATGCGTCATCGGAACCATCTTGGTCAGTTATGGAGATCACAGCGAGAAACCCGCCAAAATTGTAATTCGGCGTCACTCAGATTCGAACAGAGAACCTCCAGGTTGTGAACCTGGTGCGTTGCCTACTACGCCATAAAGCTTGAGACTGCTGGCATACCGTATATAAATCAGCGCTTGTGCATGTTATTATAAGTCATTGTCCATCAGAGATGCTCAGAGAGACCTAGCTGGGTTTGGTCAGGTCACACTACCGCTAATCGCTGGGATATGATCTGCAAACAATTCGATTTTTGGTAATGTGCTTGATTTGTCTGTATGTGCATTTTCCTAATAGAATCTCGCTCAAATGTACAATCTTAGTACATTATAGCTGAAAGCCGCGGCCAGATGGTAAGCTTCAGCCTAACTTGCTTCCTCGTAGGGCAATCCGGAACACCAGCTTATACCTTTGCCATTGAAAGGAGTTATGCGTTTTCCCTAAACAGCTTCCTATCGTACCATACAGGGCGTCGATTATCTTCTTATGTCGGTTTCGTTTGAAAATGGCCGAAATCCAGTAAGACGCAACAGCTCCCATAAACCATGGCGAGTCAATAGCACTTCCCACCATACATCGTGTAATCGTTTTCCAGTGCCTTCGTCATCTCTTCTTCTTTTGCGAGTACGTAAGCCTATCCTTGAATCGCGCAAGGTGGTAGTTGGTCTCGTTGCCTCTCGGTTTCGACGGCTGAGGCCCGTCCATACAGGCTCGCAGGGCCTGCTCGACTTGCGCACATCCCGCCGTGCTGTACCCAGCAGATGCCCAACACGCTATTAAATGAGTGGTTAATCATTAAGCTATTCCTTCTTCCTTTAGGGGAGTAGTAGAGACCGGTCTGCGCCTACCTAAGACAGAGGACATGATTTGCATGCATGGTCGCTCCCGCTGACCATTGGGGTTGCGAATTCGGAGGGTCTTCAAGGGAGGCAGCCGAATTGGCTTCTGAGATGTCGACATATTGATTGGCAGATCGAGCGCGACGTTGATCCCAAGCTCTTCTGGCTCTTTTTTTTTGGTCGGATTTTTGATGGACGCTATCGAAATTGAAGCTTTTCCCGAGGCCGAAAATAAAATATGGGTCTAGCAGGAGAGTCACGTGGTCAGATTATTCGTGTGACAGCGGGAAGCGCCTGTGGGGGGTTAGTGGGGTCTTAACATTTCAGCTTAACGGTCAGATTTTTATTATTCGCTTATGATTAATTATCAGGTAGCCCACACAGCCACACCATTCGGAGATGGATGTGACAGGGCATCCAATGCCTGCAGTGCGCATGCATACCCGTCTTCTGCGCTTCCAGTTTTTTTCTTTGCGTGTTTCTATGATTGGCATATACGACGTGGGACACGTAACCCGGGCATAGCGTGCTCCAATGCAGCACGAATTACAGACCAGGGAGCCGTCTTTGTCCCGTGTTCAAGTCTGTTACACGAACTCGTCTGCTCCGAAATCTGGCCGCGACATCGGCAGCATCCCCTTCTAGGAATTGACCGCCGCGGCTCTTGATGTTCTAGCAGAACGGCCGAGGTGGGAGCCAAAAACAGTTACACACTTTCAATGACAGCCCCCACCGAAAGCGTGCAAGTTATTTTGGTCACGGGCTACGAATTCTCAGCTCACGGCGTAAAAGAAACTTGCAGTCCTAGCTACTTACACAATATTTGGATCGATCCACGATCTCTTTGAGATCGGATGATTCATTTAGCACTGCTACGTCTAAATGCCAAGCTCAGACCAGCTAGTAGACGATCTACTGCGCGTTTACACCACGCCCATTGTTAAGAGCAAGTGGTCTATGCCTTTAAGAATCAGTGATCTTCAGATAAGATCTTGATATCTCTCTTAGTTCGCGCTGCTTGATGTCACGTTAGGACCTAGTTTGAGCCTTCCACAAAACCTCACCCTCTGGCCACTTGCAACCCATGTTTCACTTCTAGATGCAGGATCTAGTATCACTTCTAGATATAAGATCTAGTAACAACTAGCGAATGCTTTCGGCCGTCGGAAAGTCGCTCAAGCTAGACATGATCCTTCACGTCAAAAAGTGCTCTGGCGTCCCCACCTATAAGGGTCTCGACGTAATGTCGCCAGACTATTGGAACACGCCAACGAGGTTCGAGGATATGAAGGACCCTTGCTGGTTGCATCTTAGTCGCTTTGGTCACGCTTCGATCCTCTGATGGTGGATACTGATTGATAAGATAATTTCTTTATCAGATCAGAAAATTTCGCATCGACCCGTTATTCTCAGCATCTAATCGGCTAGCTCACCCAATCCAGCCTGGCCGAGCTGGGTCCCTTGTGAGCTGGTGGACACTAGCCTACCTGGAATGCCCGAAGAACCTTCCCCTTTGGAGCTTGGATGTTCTTAATGGATGGCCACCACTTGCGCAACCACACCTTGTTCAGGATTCCTTCTTCAGCTCAGGTACAGGCATGGGATGATCTTTTAACATATTTTACGTAACTGGCCCTTTCAAAGTAGATCGAGAGAAAATTAGAGGAATGGCTTGTTATTAGCTTCAAAGCAGGGTCACGGCATAATGCACCCTTTTAAGTATGGGCTATTACTTCCTATTGTTTTTTTTCTTACTTATGATGAATTACGAATCTTATATAAATTTATATAATAGATTCCAAGGTTATGCCACTGACACGGGTGAGCACTGTGTGGGGACATATTTATAAAGAATGAAAAGCATAGTTTAGATTTTTCTTTATAATTTATAAATTAAAAAGTAATTAAAAAAATTTTTTAATATAATAATTTATTTAAATTATATATTTTTTTTTAATATTTTTAATAAAATATATTTTAAATTTATATTTTATTATTTTTTTATATAATTATTATTATTATTTAATTAAAAATTTTATTATATTTTTTAATTATTTTTTTATTATA